ATGAAAGAACCACATTTTGAAAATTAAACTAAGAAAAATCTTTTTTTAAAGTTAAATTTTAACTTTGTTATATCTAAAGATCTTCTTTTAGATGTAAATATTTTTTTTAAGGTTTTTACCATAGAGTGTGTGTGCTCACCAGAGAGGAACAGAGAGAGACAGTGAAAGGGAAAGTGAGAAGTCACCCCCCAGGGGGGTGACCATGATGCAATTTCTTCTCTATTCTCTTCCTGGGGAGTTTGTGCACACACATAGCCAGTATGATTTTCAAGCCACCAGGCCCAGGATTCAAACTGCAGTCAGCCATATGAGAGTCCAGCAGCTTAACCAACTTGCCGCTTGCTGGCCCCAACATTATTTTCTTTAAAACATGATTTTTTGAAAGAAATTTTTATTAAAAACATTTCTAATATTTATTTACCTATTTAGACTGTCCCCTCTACTATCACAGCAAAATAAATATAGTCATTTAATGTTTTTTGTTTCCTTCTTTTTTGTTGTTTTCAATATGTAGCATAATGATTTCAAAGTGTACTTGGAAAAATGTGTGGCCTTATAGAGCTAGTAAACTTAAATAATACATAAAAAAAGAAAGACAAGGTACACAAAAAGTGGTGAGTGGATGAGTAGAAGAAATATTTTTACTGAAAAAAGTGAGGAAGGGGAAAATATATTACAGGCAAATATATTAACAAACTGGAAAAAAAAAATGAAGTTAGAACTTGGCCTCAAAAGTTACACCAAAATTGGGACCAGCAGATGGCATAGCAGTTACATCGCTGGACTCCCACATGGCCAACAGTGGCTCAAGTCCTGGACTCAGTGGTTTGAAAATAGTGTGAAGCATGTGTTTGCATGCCCAATATCCTTGAAGGAGAGTGGAAAAGAGATTGCAGTGTGGTTATCCCCTCTGGGGGATGATTTCTGACTTTCTCTCACTATCTCTGTCTCTCTCTTTCTCTTCTGTAAGCACACATGCCCTAATGCAAAAACTTTAAAAAATGTTACACCAAAATAAGGTACAACATGTAATAAACACATTAATAAGCATACATTTTAGACAATTTTAAAATAAAAATCTTTATGTATATGCTAGAAAAGCATTAAAAAATCATGGAAATAATCACAAACATGAAAACACTTCAGAGATAATTTAAAGAATAATGAGGCCCAAAACAATATTCTATGAGAAAGAAATTCTTTGATAAGGAAATAACCAAAAGGAGATATAAACAATCAATAAACCTATGAAAAAAATGTATTGGGTTGTCAGGAAAGTCATGATGCATTTTTGCATAGAAAAACATAGAGCACACGTGTTCACCAGAGAGAGAAAATGAGAGAGAGAAAAACCAAGAAAGAGAAAAAATACGATAGAGAAGTGAGAGGGAGCAAGGAAGAAAGCAAGCCACCAGTTTTGGGACTCAAACCATGGTCAGCCGTGTGGGAGTCCAGCACCTTAACCACTGGATCACCTGCTGTCTCACTTCAGTTGCAGTTTTACCCAGGGAGGTTAGAGGCTGTCTTCCTGAAGACTCATTATAATTTACTTAAATTCCATGAACTATATCTTAAATGCATTTATAGCGCTCTCTCTCTCTCTCTCTCTCTCTCTCTGTGTGTGTGTGTGTGTGTGTGTGTGTGTATTTATGCATAATTCAGTTAAATTAGGTGCAAAGAAACTGATTCAGTAAGATATAGTTTTGGATATATTTGACATTGTTTATAAAAATAGGCATAAATTGTTAAAGTATCACTAAATAATGTACAGCTCACTCATGATCAACTATAAGATTTAAAACCAACAGATGGTGTAATGTTTATGTTGCTGGACTCCCACGTTGTCAACCACAGTTTGAGTCCTGGACCTAGCAGCTTAAACTCTCGCTAGACTCGTGTGTATGCATGCCCAGAATCCTGACAGGAGAGTGGAGGAGAAGAGACTGTGACATGGTCATCCCCCTCAGGAGGAGATTTTAAATGTCCAGACTGGCTGGCCTTGTAGTAAAGGCAGCTGGATCTCATATGACTGATCTCACTAAGTAAATCCCAGACCTGCAGCTTTAAAAACACATCAGTCATGTGTGCATGGGTGTGTGCCCCAAATCCCCAAACTTGGGAGAGGTGGAGGAGAAGGGATTGCACCATGACATTCCTCATGGGGGATGATTTCTACTTTCCCTCTCAGACTGGCTGGCCTTGTAGTAAAGGCAGCTGGATCTCATATGACTGATCTCACTAAGTAAATCCCAGACCTGCAGCTTTAAAAACACATCAGTCATGTGTGCATGGGTGTGTGCCCCAAATCCCCAAACTTGGGAGAGGTGGAGGAGAAGGGATTGCACCATGACATTCCTCATGGGGGATGATTTCTACTTTCCCTCTTTTTTTCTCTGTCTCTGGGCAATGCATGTGCCCTCAGGCAATTAATGATAATGATAATGATAATAATAATAATGGAGGGGCCTGTAGGTGGCACAGTGGTTGGGGTGCTGGACTCCCACTTGGGTCCCGGTCCTGGCAGCTTGCTTTCTCAATGTCATACACCATATTAACAGAAAGATAAAAACCTTATGATCATATCAATTGATGAAAAAAAATAATTTGATAAGATACAACATCCCTTCATGATCAAGACTCTCAGTAATATAGGCATAGAAGGGTCATTTCTCAAAACAATAAAAGCTATCTATGAAAAACACATAGTGAACATCATCTTGAATGGAGAAAAGCTGAAAGATTTTCCACTAAAAACTGGTGCAAGACAAGGATGCCCACTTTCTCCACTCCTTTTCAATATAGTACTGGAAGTCCTCACTAACACATTCAGAAAAGAGAATAAAATAAAAGTTATTCAAACAGGAAAAGAAGAGGTGGAACTCTCTATTTGCAGATGACATGATTGTATACATAGAAGACCCAATGGTATCTATGAAAAAGTTCCTACAAATAATAAATGAATACAGTAAAGTTGCAGGGTACAAAACCACTAGATATTTTATAACTGATATTAAATGATTTAATTTGTTTATATATTTGAATCATATAGCTATTATTTTCGGTACACTTAATTTAACTGAAACTCCTCAACTATTAGTTATCATCTAGTATAGATTTACTTTTTTGTTATTTTGAGGCTTTACAAAGTTCTCTGCAAGAGCAAGAAAGTGGCCTCAACTATCTCAGCACCACTGTGAAAGAGATGTCAAAGAAAGCACCCTCTGAAATTAGCCGAAAATATCAATCAGAATTTGAAGAGATGGAGGGACGTTGGAAGAAGCTTTCCTCTCAGCTGGTGGAACATTGTCAAAAGCTAGATGACCAAATGAATAAACTGCGCAAAATCCAGGTAATTTTATTTGATTTACTTTCTGTAGTTGTTCTGATTTACTTGTTTTTCCTCTAACAACACATTGTAAAACTCAGAAGTAAGTAGACATCTGAAGACAAGCCAGTGGCATAGTGTGTAAGGCAGCTGGATCCTACATGGCCCAACTGCATGGTTCAAGTTCTGGACCCAGTTGCTTGAAAAACATGCTGGGTATGTGTGTGTGCATGTGAGGATCCCGAGGAGAATGGAGGAGAGGGGATTGTGGTGTGGACATCCCCCTGGAAGGGTGCTTTCTCATTTTCTCTCTCTCCTTAGGCCCTGTAAAAAAAGCTTAAAAAAATAAAAAAGACATTTGACTCCCTCACTTCTTCAAACTTATTCTCAAAGAATAGTTTGCCTTTTTTTTCCCTAAGAAAATAGCAATTAAGATTTCTGCATGGGGACCAGCAGATAGTGTAATGGCTACATCGCCAGACTCCCATGTAGTCAATCACGCTTCCAGTCCTGGACCCATTAGCTTAAACTCACGCTGGGTTTATGTGTGTGTGTGTGTATGCCCAAGATCCCAAAAGGAGAATGGAAGAGAAGGGATTGCAGTGTGGCCATTCCTCCTGGGGGGTGATTTCTCAATTTCTGTCCCTCTGTTTCTCTCTGTCTTTCTGGTGCCTAATCAAAAAACCCTCAAAAAAAAAAAAAAAAAAAAAGATTTCTGTTTTGGGCCAGCTGGTAGTGTGGTGGTTAAGATGCTGGGTCCCGTATAATTGACTATGCAGTTCAAGTCCTAGACTCAGTGACTTGAAAGACATACCAGGCACATGTGCATGTGTACCCACAATCCTGAAAGGAGCATACGTTATGACGTGGCCATCCACCCACATGGATAACTGTGGTTCAAGTCCTGGACTTGGCAGCATGCTTTCTCACTTTCCCTTGCTCTTTTTCTCTCTTTCTCTGTCCTCTCTGATAAACACATGAAACCTTGAGCAAAATTTGTAAAAGCAAAGAAAGAGAAAAATATTTCGGCTTCTTGGATTTCTTTAAAATGATTTACCTTTTTTTTTTTTTCACAAATGATAACATGACTTAAACATGTTTTTATTGTAATAATTTTCTTTTAAAAAATAACTATTCATTTATTATTTTTATTATTTATTATTGTTATTTTGACCAGAGAGAGACACAGAGAGAGGAAAAGTGAGAAGCATGCTGCCAAGTCCAGAACGTGAATTGCGGTTATCCATGTGGCAGTCCAGCACCTTAACCACCATGCCACCTGCCAGCTCCCTTGTAATAATTTTCAAAACCAATCATTCTGTTATTTATCATTTAATATGTAGGTATAATTTAGCTTATGATTAGATAAAAAGTTGTATATATTTTTTAATATAGTCATATGATTTAATCACCATATATCACTTAGAGTTATTTGTTTAAATTTTTCCCCATCACCATTTTCCTCAAACCAGCTTCTACAGACTTAAATTGTTGGTGCCACTGTAGTGATCATAATGCAACCTAAAAATAATAATGCACCAATTGCATTCTAGACTAAGAGTTTAAAATAGTTAGAGACATAGGTAATATTTTGTTGAGTAGACAATTATTGCAAAAACAATGTTATTGCTGCATAGGAAACTTCAAGAACAGCACAATATGATGCAAACGTGTTGAAACAAGATGTTTGTGTCTTTAAATTCCAGTCCAGCTACTTAGTTGTTCTTTTGTTTTACAAACCAAAACACTAAGCACTCCTAAAATAGTCTTTAAACTACCAAAGGCATATATTCATGTCTCTACTTATAAACATATCTGTGCATGCATACATACATACATGCATGCAAGAAAACCCATTTTATTTGTCAAGACTAGTGACCAAAGATGGTACAATTACATTGTCCTCACAGTCAGTGAGCACAGATTTCAGTGAGGTAGAAAAGTAAGTGTATTAGTTTCCTCTTGCCGCTTTAACAAATTACAACATAAATGTAATGGTTTCTAACAACACACATTTTTTATATTACTGTTCTGGATGTCAGAAGTTCAAAATCGGTCTTAGTTGACTGAAATCAAGTTTGTCAGCAGGGCAGTGTCCCTTAAGGAGATTTTGACATTTTTAGCTTTGAGAAGCAACGTGCATTTCTTGGCTCATGTTCAAAGCCAGCAGCGAAGCACCTTCTAGTGTCTTTGTCTCTGCCTCTCTCTCACTTTTGCTCTCATTCCTATTGTCTTGCCTTCTCAATAAAGACTTCTGTGATTTTATTGTAACCAGCTGGATGATCCAGAATGATCCCCCTAGCTCAAAATCTTTAACTTCCTCACATCTGAAAAGTGCTTTTGATCATATGATTCAAATATATAAACAAACTAGGTCATTTAATATCAGCTACAAAATATCTAGGTTCTAGGAATGAGGATGTGACTATCTTGCAGAGGGCTCAATATTCAGCCTAGCACATTAAATCAATTAAATCATTAAATCAATTGAACAGTGTGGTAAATATTATAACCGTACATAGGAAATAAATCCCATATAAACAGGGAAAAGGGTTATAAGATGTTCTTGTAATATAGATGGTCTAAGCCAGCAATCCCTAGCCTTTTTAGTACCAGAGACTGGTTTTTACTGTAGACAATTTTTCCACAGATGGGATGAGGGATGGTGGTTTGGGGCTGATGCAAACCTTTTGTATTTATTGTGAACTTTATTTCTATTATTATTACATTGAATATCTAATTAAATAATGATACAATTCACCGTAATTCAAAACCAGTGGGAGCCCTGAGCTTATTTTCCTGCAACTAGATGGTGGCATCTGGGGGTTCCTATGAGAATCTAATGCCACTGCTGATCTGACCAGAGCTGAGGTGATAATGTGAGTGATGGAGAGTGGGGTGTAAATATAGACGAAGCTTTGATTACTTGCCCCTTCACTCATCTCCTGCTGTACAGCCTGGGTTGGGGACCTCTGATCTATGCTATATATCATGAACAGGTAGAATTTAGTTAGCTAATACAGACAAAGAGAGACTTCTTGACAAAAAGGAGCAGTAAATTCAAATAGCTGGAAGAAGTTGAATATTGGGAAGATCATCTATACGTTTGGAGTGCAATAAAATATATAGTTGGAAAAATGGTTTGAGAATATACCATGAATAGCCTGGAATACCATGCTTTGAAATCTAAATTTCAACCTAGTAGTGGCGAGATTATTAGCAACAATAATAATTGTAATCAGTGGCTGTTAGTAGTATTTTAAAGAAGAAAATATGGGATAACCCTGTGTCTTAGTGTTAAGGGAGGTGGATCCCACATGGCCAGCTGTGTTGTTTGAATCCTGATCCTATGGCTTGAGAAATATGCCAGACACATATGTATGCAGGGCCCAAATCCCAACAAGATAGCAAAATAAAGAAGAAGGGGCTGCAGCATGGAGACAGCCCACTGAGAGTGACTTCTTTATTCTTTCTTTTTTTTCC